CCGCGATGTAGCGCATGTAAAAATTGGAGCTGCTGCCAATGCAGGGTGCAGCCCAGAAAAATCTTTTGCATGCTTTTGCTATCTGGGGTCTATGCTGGTGTAATTTATTTATGTAAGTGCTGTAACTCCTCCCCGCTTAGGCTCCAGCTGCGAATTCTTGTTTAGCTTGGCTGCAACATGGACCCAAGAAAGCAGACCTTACTTTTGCCGAGGTCCAGGTCATGCTCTGTGTGGGGCCTTGGTGACAAAATTCGGTGGGTACAAAAATTGGGCGCGCTGGCATGGAGGGCATGCAGGCTTTGAGGGCTCGCATCGTGCAATCTTCGTTTTGCAGCAGTGGATTCCACCAGACTCAGATGATTGGAGTAAGTTTTAGATTCCGCACTGGCCAGACTGTCCCAAAATTACAATCGAAGGACATGTTCGGCTTCGTGAGATGCACTGAGATCCTCGCGGCCTACATGATGAAGAAGTATTCGTGGGGCCTCCGGAAGACCATGGAGTTCCTCAGTTCAAGGCGTCCAGGCGCGTTTCGGACGGAAGTTCTTGGCCATTCGGCTTCGTCGGCTCAGTAGATCTCCAAGGAGTTTTGAAAAAAGAGAGCCGCAGAGTCACTGCACCGTCAAGTAATTAAGTAGTTCATTCCTTCGTTTGGACGGTTGGCAAGGGTGATGTTTGCTTTTGCAAGATCCTTATATATTCATATATATTCATATTGTATTTATCAGAGTCACGGCATCGCCAGAATTGGATTTGAAGCCTGCATTCCTGCAACAGCTGTTGGGCTTCGAACGGTGGGGTGACCTAATGGCGTGCACTGACAGCCTTCGGATGGTCGATTTCACCAGGTGTAGTCAAGTTTATTGTGGTGTGTGTATGTGTGTGTGGTGTGTGTGTGTAGCTTTTTGTTCTGCATTTTGGCATGTTCGCACTCCAAGCGGTACTGTCATTCTTGAAGTGGGGTGTGTTGAAACTACTGTAGGTGCTGAACCAACACAACATCCGAGCATCAGTGGAACCACACTTTCAACTCCTCATTCCTTCGATGCCTTGTTTTGAGGCGCCTCATGGCGCAGTCAAAGCAATCCTTCAGCGGGCGCCCGAGATCGGTGCACCGATCGAGATAACATAAGCAATCTTGGAGGTCTATGTTATTTAGTGTCCGTGTTGTCCTGCTAATTGGGAGATGCTGTATCGAAACGCCCTGGAGTGGCATTGCCTCTTGCTCGTGGCTATCAACTTTTTTGGATACATTTCATTGGGAGCCGACAGAACATGGTGACAAGTTTGCTCAATTTTGAGAGGTGTTTGTTGTGGCGTGACACCTGTGACAGCCTGTGTCAGGTTCAGACTGGAATGATAACTGCAACATGAATCGGTGGGAGTGCGAGGACGGAACCAATGCGTGACCTTGGAGCAGCTATCGGAATAGGATGGCCCTTGGGTCGCATGCCCTGCGTTCCTTGAGTGGATGCAATCCAAGGAAATCAACGCATATTGTATTATATATATATATATTATATGCACAATGTACAACAGTTCCCAGTCTTGGGGACAACAGCCACCCTGTCCCAGTTCCAGCTTGGTGAGAGGAGTTGCTCCTCCGCAATACTTACATTAACAGTCAGATGGGTCCTCTGGCAGAGATTCAGCTGCGCCCTCAGATTGGAGTGACGGTGTGGGGGCACTTGGGCCATTCGAGGCCATTTTGCTTCAATTCGTTGGCACCCCAAGTGGACAAAACCCGAGATGCACATCCTTTACTTCTTGGGGTGGAGGTGTGGCTGAAGTACTTCCTGAGAAGGGATACTTCTTGAGAAGGGCTATTTCTTTTATTCACCAGCGAAAACTATTGGGGTTCCTACTTCAAGTATAAAAGGTGCTTGTGTGCGCTTTGGAGCTTCGGTGCGCTTTGGAGCTTCAGTGCTGGTGCAGGGTGCCGCTGCAGGATGCTGCTGCGAGATGTCCATGGCCCTGTAGCCTGGGCGCTGGTGCTGAGAGAGATGCCCATGGCAGTGGAGCCAGGCGATGGTGCCACTGCAGCGTGCTGCTATTTGAGGTCTATGGTTTTATTACTTGATAAGGCTGTGCTGACACCTATGCCCATCCTATGCCTATTCTGGCAACTGCAGGATTGTTCCTCAGATAACAAGAACTGAGTTCCTGTTCAAATAGGAGGGGGTTGCTCGTCCGCGCGTTGGAGCCTGGGTGCTGCAGCTGCTGCTGACAGATGTCTGTGGCCGCGTGCGTTTTGGAGCTTGGGCGCTGGTGCCGCTTCAGGGTGCTGGTGCCGCTGAAGGCGTTGCCGCCAGATGTTGATGGCAGCGTGCCCTTTTGGACGCCACTGCAGGGTGCTGCTGCTGGATGTCTGCGGTGTCGGTGCAGGGCGCTGCCCACAAATATGAAAAACGATTATATAAAGCAAAATTGTGTAGATAGGTAGATAGATAGATAGGTAGGTAGGTAGATAGATAGATAGATATAGTATTTCCTGGCGGGAATCGATTCAGAACAGCTTATTGCACACTTCTATGTGCAGATCAAACACACATGCACACACACACACACACGCTTAGACAATGGGCTTGCAGTTACATCAATTCCCCGAGGAAATGAGTTAGAGAACGGAAAGGTGGCAGAGTCCGCGGAAAAGAATTGCTGAACATTGTTTGCAAGTGCACTCGAAAGCGATCTGACACTCAGCGTGGCTGCAAAGCGGCAGAAAGCTGCTGAAGGAAAGTGGTTTGGGGGAAGTATTGTGAAAGAACCATGAATCAAAACATGTAAAGTGGAGTCACAGCTTGGTCAAAAGTTGAAGCAGATACACATCAGGACGTCTCCCGGTGCATCACCAGAGAATGTGGACGTCTTCGTTGGCAGTGATTCCACAAACTATGTCACTGCCCCCTGCGTGTGAAAAACTCTTGGAAACAGAGTGTGGCACACACACACACACATATATGCGTGTGTGTGTGTGTAACCCTTGGAATCATAGGGATCCTTTCGGATTTTAGC